ACGTGGGCGAGCACGTTTTGACACCGCCATCTTTGGCGATTTTTTATTTTTTTTTTGGCTCAGCCAAATGACTTGAAACTTTACAGGCCTGTACCTCACCTCATAGAGAGCTCACAAAAAAAAATTCAGAAAAAAATAATTACTTTTAGGCCCCAAAATTGGGCGGGGGCCGAACGCCGCCGGGTTACGACCCCGTACGGGACCCCGAACGCCCGTACGTACGGAGGTCTGCCCGGGGACCTCCGTACGTACGGGCTGGTGACCCTGATTATAAACTTATAAAGTAATATAAAATAATACAAAGTAATAGAAAATCCCATCTCCAGGCTGGTGGTTCTAGTGCCAACAACACACAACGAGATTCATTAACAGATTTAAACTCCTACAGACTGTCTGTGGGAGTTATCGCTGTATCTAGACTTGAATTATCGCTGTATCTATAGACTGCATTCTCGCTGTACGACGAGACTGAACTGTCGCTGGATCTGGACTGAAAGTGCACTCAGAAACACAAAAAGCATCATCCATCCGCAACAATTGCTCAATATGACACTACACATGATTCAGTGTCACTTTTTCGGTTTTCATAATTAGGAAAAAAAAAAAAAAAAAAAAACTTGAAAAAAGAGGAAAAGAAATCATCTAGCTGGCAACCCCTACAGCTGAAAAATCGTTCAAACACCAGAGCGCTCGAAAATTGCGAAAGCCGAAGTCAGTTATACCGTTCCTGCCACCGCCGTCTTCAACCAAATAGAACGCATGGTGATTATCGCTGTATCTAGACTGAAAGTTACCCCCAATTCGGCGACAAGGACCGCGCGTTCTATAAGGCCGAAGAAGATCACTATATTACATACAGAAGCCAATGGGAAGGTTCGAGTTCCAACCGTGCAAGTAATGAATGTGAAGGAGAAGGCTTCTTAGCATAGTTGCTAAGGAGTCTCCTCTGACCGACTGTTACAGGAGCAGCAGCTCCTGGACTCTGGTACCGACTACATGCAACATAGCCACTAGACTCACTACCTTTCTGTTCGCCTTGGACTGCGGGCACCATGGACCGACTGCTGGCACGGATGCATGACTATCGTTGGCACATACGGGCCCGTCGGTCCATGGCGCAGTGCAGTTAAAAATTGAAACAGAAAGGTACTGATGGCACGTAGGCACGACAATCGTCCCATGGCACATACGGGCCCCCGTCAGTCCTTGGCGCAGTGCAGTTCAAAGCTGAAACAGAAAGGTACCGGTGGCATTACCAGAGAATCGTCGCATGGCACATACGGGCCTGTCGGTCCATGGCGAAGTGCGGGTAAAAGTTGAAACAGAAAGGTACCACTGGCATTACCAGCCATGAGAAAGAAAGCAGAGAACACTAAGTTTAGTAATTTGCACAAAACAAAAAAAAAAAGTAATTTGCACAATTTTAAAGACTGACCTTTTGCTTAACCTTCCGGAAGTCAAGGAGACGTAAATTGGGGCACTTGTGGATAACGTAATATCGGTAGTTTGGCTTCTTGGTAACCGCATTATCCAGGAGCGAAAGCCTCAGCAACCGCGGAATATTTGCCAGTGGATCCAGCTCCGCCAAATTCGTGAGCCGATTTCCTGTCAACACGACCGTTTCCAGCTTTGGCAAGCATGCTGCCCAGCACAATCCACAAACACTCCCCCATGCATTGATCAGTACTTCGTTTGTGTAATTAAGAATCGACCCTTCATTAAACCCACCAACATCGAAAGCTCCGCAAGGGGGTTCCCAAGGCAGGGGGTTGGAGGATTCATAGCAGTTCGGAGGGATTTGGAGGGGGCGGGACGGGGTTGGAGGGGGCGGGACGGGGTTGGAGGGGGGACGGGGTGGGGGGGGGGGGGGGGGGGGGGGGGGGGGGGGGGGGGGGGGCTGGGGGGGGAGGTGGGGGGGGGGGGGGGGGGGGGTGTTGTGCTTCGCATGGAGGTGACTATTGGTGTTTACTATTCTGCTTTCCACAAACACTTAGAAAGACAGAAGACGCCAAGAGCTAAAACAGTGATACAGAAAGCACCAGCCATACACTAACAAAGAAAACATGGAGTCAGAGACAGAAAGAGCGAAGTGAGATTCTTCATTGGTGTTGCTTCCTGACTTTTTTCGCGGGCGGAGCTGTGCTGGCTGCACCTGCTTGTATAACTAAAAGGAAAGGGGACTGGAAATTTGAGTACTGGTCTCTACCCCTTAGTTACATTCAGTGGCCACTTGTCTGATTTTGCAACTTCTTTACCTTCTCTGATCACTTGCCTGGTTGGGCCCTTTGGCATGCCAGCTGCACCCGATCATTATCGGGGCTGAAGGCCTCCTGAACAGTTTGATCATGAGCCTCACGAACGCCTTGATCGTGAACTGGTTGGTGAATTCGAGACCACAAAGTTGCACTTGGTCTTTGACTCTGACCAGGTGAATGCAGCTTGAGCCTGGGCTTCTGCATTAGGAAGGATTAAGGGGAAAGCAGTGGGTGTGAGTTCAAAAACTCATGCCATGCACACACCTGCACTGGGACGTGTGCATGGCATAAGTTCGTTACATCCATACCGTTCCCTAAATGTTTTCTTATGTTGTAGCCTGAGCTTCAGGCTGGTCAGGCTCTAGACTGAACACTGTTTGACCTGTTGGGTGTATCAACCGGTCAAAAGTGTGAAGCTGTTCACGAGTTCTTTACTCCCGGCTTTGGCTGCTGCACAAATGTGAGGTATCGCTCGCAATGCCTGCACAATCTCTCGGCGGTTTTACTTTTGATGCGAGGCATCTTTCAAGGGAATGATAGCTGTACGACCTTTGCATACAGGTAACATGTTTCTTCCTTTAAACCACCAGTACCTACCGCGTGTTTAGGCTGTTAACGCGGGGATGAATCGGCCTGCCGCGTGGGTCTGTATTCATTCGAAACGGTAGGCCTAAGAACGTGTGATAGGTACTGGTGGTTTATACGTGAGATATCATCGTCGGACTGACCACCTTTTCATACAGGTAACATGTTTCTTGAACTTTCTTCCTTTAAACTTGAGATATCATCGTCGAACTGACCGGCCATAGGTACTTCAGAATTCTACTATTTCACTCACTCACTCACTCACTCACTCACTCACTCACTCACTCACCCACCCACCCACCCACCCACTCACTCACCCACTCACTCACTCACTCACTCACTCACTCACCCACTCACTCACTCACTCACTCACTCACTCACTCACTCACTCACTCATCTGCTTGAGTGGCGTTTGAACTCAGCACCTGGTCTGTATTTCAACAGTTCAGTTCAGGGGGGGTGTACCGACGTAGACATGGCCATTGACATGTTAAGGCATTGCAGACGTTTTTTCTTTGATGAGGTCCCAGCGGGATGTCCACATTCCGGTGGCGGGTCTCTTTGTCCATGTTGGCCGCAACGGTATTGCCGACGTCGGTGGTTTTAGCTGGCTTTGACCGGTTACCCATTCTGTCATTTAGGCACAAAGTGCCACAAAGACAGATTCCTGGCTTTCATCTCCTTCTTTTCCGTGTATTTCTCCAGTCCGGGTGTTCTGTTCTCCATGTATTCCAACTAATATGATAGTTCCAGCAAACTAGAATGAAGACAGCTTTGTGAACTGCAAATGTTCGACTCCCTGTGTTGGAGCACACAGAGGAGGAGGAGGAGGAGGAGGAGGAGGAGGAGGAGGAGGTGTGCAGAGTCTAACCAACCACCTGCTCTCGATAACTCGTGGATATGGCCTTCTCTTGGCGTAGGATCTGCAGAGTCTCTCGCACAGATGACGCTTTTGACAACTGGGAGGGGTTTGGAAATAGTTGCTGTGTGTGACGGTGTTTGGTTCTGCTGTTTTCGTGACTGAAGGTCTGTCCGCGTCCACTGGGAAGGCAAGGCTGCGAGCGCAAGACTGTAGCAGTGTAGTAGAGAAGATGCGCTGACGAAGTATTCACGGTGCAGGGGGACATTTGTTGCCTTTTTCATGTGTGTGAACTGTTTGAGATGATTCTCATGTGACTGAGCTCCTCCCCGTTTAATGCGATATATTATGAAGTCCAGTATCCTTGGTATATACATATGGTGATTCCCCCCCCCCCCCCCCCCCCCCCCCGTCCCTTGGTCTTTTGCGAGTTCTAGTCTGTTTGGAGCTGAAGGAAGATTCTTCTGGTCCGGCGAGTTTTTTTGTGGAAATGTGTGAGGGCTTTTCAATTTTGGTAGGGGAAGTGTCAGCCTATTTGGTTTTTGTGACGATATATATATATATATATTCTCCGACGAAACAGTTTGTCACAGCCCCTCGTTTGTTGTCCTCTTCTCTCTCTCTGCCTACGGTTTACCGGGCAGTTCTGTTTGTGACGATATATATATGACACAAGGATTTTCAGTCCTTTGCTCTAACCAACTGAGCTACCTAAACAAAAACAAAATCAAACTATGTTCAATTCAGAAAAGGTAATTCAAAGATTACTAAGTACAAAGGCACATTTTGGTAATCGTACACCTACTTCAGACTTTCAGCCATATCTGTACGGATTACGAAATGAAATCGCTATTATTGATTTAGAAAGAACACTTCTTTATTTACGAAGAGCTTGTAATTTCATTGAGTATATAATTCGTTCAAATGGTATATATCGTCACAAACAGAACTGCCCGGTAAACCGTAGGCAGAGAGAGAGAAGAGGACAACAAACGAGGGGCTGTGACAAACTGTTTCGTCGGAGTTTCACCGACTCATCAGGAGGCTGTATAGAGAGAGAGAGAGAGAGAGAGAGAGAGAGAGAGAGAGAGAGAGAGAGAGAGAGAGAGAGAGAGAGAGAGAGAGAGTAGAACAAGCTACGATCTGAAGTCCTGGCACTGATTGAAAATAAGATTCTAATCTTTGAGAATGTTCAGCACATAATTGTCTTCCTACTCCTCCAGGACCACGCACTACAAGAGGAGTTGTAAGCGGACCTCAAATTTGTCGTTTGCTTAATTGATTTGGTGCTGGAAGTGCAGATGAGGACGAGAGAGGCATTGGACTTATGAGGGAGGACTCAGGTGTCGATGATCGTGGTAGAGGAATGGGGGGGGTAAATGACCGCCAGCGCAGGTCAGGCAGCGTTCGCTATCGAACGCCCAGAGGATGGCAGCACGTAGGCCTTTCCCGGGGGGAAGTCGTCGACGAGGATGGGATGGTGGGAGCAGAAAACTGGAAATATACCGGTGCTGATGGGTACACTGGCTCAGAGGTTGAGCAAGCCGATAGAAAAGACGATGATATGTTTGGTCCTGAGGGGAGGATGGAGGTGGTGGAAATGAGGGGAAGCCGCAATTGATGAGAGTCTGAGACCCCAAGGTGAGGGGAAGGAACCGTTGGTGTGAATCTGAATCTGCAAAAGTAAGCTGCCATCCGACGTGCGTCTCGAGGGGAGGATGGAGGTGGTGGAAATGAGGGAAAGTGCCGCTTGGCAGTTGCAGAATAACCATGGCATGGGGAGGAAGGGAGGAAGGGAGGGTGAAACCGGACGACTGGGCAAGTTTGAGAGTGCTCAAGCTCATTACGGCATTTGTGGAGGTTGGTGTCTTTTTTTCACCACTGGAATCTAGAATGCAGTGGGTTGGCTATGGATGGTTTGCGTGTGTGCAAATCAGTTTGATGCTTGAAAAAAAATGTGCTGCTGTCGAATTTGAAATTTGAATCCTATGATTATGGCCAATCGAAACGCTAATTGCACTTTGTATGATAATTGCACTTTCTGAAGTTTGCGTCAGTCAGTTTTTGAGATGGTTTTCTATGCAGTGCATGGTTGATGATCATTTGCTTTTTTTTTTTTTTTTTTTTTTTTTTTTTCCTCAAGTAGTGAAAGTAAACTTTACATCTCTCTCTCTCTCTCTCCTTTTTTATTTTTTTTGCCAATCTCTCTTCTCCTCTGGCTGCGGCAACATCAAGGCTGAGGAAGGTTGGCTTTTTTTTTTTCAAGTAGTGAAAGTAAACCCTTACCTTCCACAGGCTTCCAGGATGTCTAGCTGGTTTTTTTAGTTTTTTTTTTTTTTTTTTT